TTCGATTCCCAGTTTTGGCAAGAGCACAGATTGGTTATGGTTTAGCTTTGCGCTAAAACAACCGGATTTTTACGAAACATCTGTTGTTGTTGTTTTTAATCAAAAGAGAATTCACATACAAGATATTGATAATAGTTGCCCTCTGTGTACCAACATTTCCGTTATAAGTAATCTCACAGGTAAATTACAGTTAAATTTTAGCCTTAAAGAAGAACATAATTCCAAGGGAAGATAAAGGAGAAAACAATGAAGAGGATGTTGAGCACTTTTTTTCTTTCATATACTCCTTTCTGCATAGACGCATACAATAGTTATTTGTGTTCATTGTACAGAGGGATACTCAAGCATTTGGGTTAGAAGTTCTTTAGATGGCAACCATTTAACATGACATTTTCTTAAATTACGCGCTCATGCCCCTTGCTCATGCTCATTATGCAAATAACGCATTTTCATGCCCAACTTCTCTGGTTCAGCAGCGCCCAGTGGCTGGTTATATAAATTTAATGCCATGGATGATTGCAGTGATGTTTGATAATAAAGATCAGATGAGGGACAGGCTGTGTATGGCGAGTCTGATGTCGACGTACGCGAGAAAAGTGCTAGTCCTGCATTCCCCCTTCTCAATTCATCATGCAAAGCTACTGGCCTTAGCGAGAAACAATATATATATATTACCTTGGTGATCTTGATTTACAAACCGAAATATTTATATTTTATTAGACAAGGTGACACCATATATTGAAGTACTGTCCAGCTAAGGAATATGCTAATACTTTCAAATCAGAATAAGCTACCTGTAGGAAAAAATGTAAGTAAACTAGTTTCGCATCACGAATCAAGAGGTATACAGTTTTATAATTTCCAAAGAACATTAAGCTTGATCAATGTAATATAACTGAACATATGTACAATTCAGATTCAGAGTATGCGTGAAAGAATGATTTCTTCCTATAGAATAATGCAACGTTATTTTATTGGGTGTCAGATTATGGTTGATATATATTTAGGAGGTAACTTATGATCACTGTTAGAAACGTAATTAAAGTGGGTACCAGGTAAGTTTACAAACTGATCGCTTTCTAATGCTACCTGACCTTGACAACGACGTATTATTCCTAAAGTGATATGATGTTTCTCACATAATTCGTTTGACTGCCACTGTATTTTAAACAAAAAAATGTATTCTAAAGCGATTCCAACTTGGTAGAAGAGTAGTTTATTCTAAAGCGATCCCAAGTTGGTTGAAGAGAAGTTTATTCTAGAGCGATCCCAAGTTGGTTGAAGAGAAGTTTATTCTAGAGCGATCCCAACTTGGTAAAAGCGTAGTTTATTATAAAGCGATCTAGGCTTGGTAGAAGATTAGTTTATTCTAAAGTGCTCTCAGCTTTGTAAATGAGTAGTTTATTTTAAAGCGATCCCAACTTGGTTGAAGAGAAGCTTATTCTAAAGCGATCTGAGCTTGGTAGAAGAGTAGTTTATTCTAAAGTGCTCTCAGCTTTGTAAATGAGTAGTTTATTTTAAAGCGATCCCAACTTGGTTGAAGAGAAGCTTATTCTAAAGCGATCTGAGCTTGGTAGAAGAGTAGTTTATTCTAAAGTGCCCTCAGCTTGTAAAACAGTAGTTTATTCTAAAGCGATCTCAGCTCGGTAGAAGAGTAGTATATTCTTAAGCGATCCCAGCATAGTAGAGGAGTAGTTTATTTTAAAGCGATCCCAACTTGGTAGAAGAGTAGTTTATTCTTAAGCGATCCCAGCCTAGTAGAAGGGTAGTTTATTCTAAAGTGCCCTCAGCTTGTAAAACAGTAGTTTATTCTAAAGCGATCTCAGCTCGGTAGAAGAGTAGTTTATTCTTAAGCGATCCCAGCCTAGTAGAAGGGTAGTTTATTCTTAAGCCATCCCAGCTTAGTAGAGGAGTTCTTGATCCAACAATTTCTTTTGACAAGTCCTGTAATTTGAAGAATTTTGTATATTTCGATTGGATAATTTAAAATGGAGGAACTTAGGAATGACGTGTCGGAGCATGCATTCAGTAAGGAAGCAAATATCGAGATTAACTTTCTTAATTTTAAAGTCCCATTTTTCACAGGCACGGTATACACGCAGAGTATCATTTCCATATCGTTGAATCAGAACATTAGCAATCGATGTGTTCGAAGGAAAACGAAGTTTGATAATAAGCAAGATTACGACACTTATGATATACAACATTGTTTATTGACAAAAAGGAGACATGGATAAACGTTCGGAATTCTATCAGATTCCATCTTCAGTATCTAAAGCAGAATAAAATGAATCTACATCAGTCTTTATACATTTTCAAAGTACAGTTGCTAAATATAACGATAATTAAACAAATAGAACACTAAACAGTAATCATGGGGAGAAACTACAGTAAGAAAACACAACGAAAAAAAAACGGTAATACGAACATATTAAAAAATGTATAATTTAAATGAAGACTGCATGTTGTTCAGAGTTGGAGAGTGCTGTTTGATCTGGAGGGTTTCTTTGATCAATAATTCCAGGCCAGTATTAGACTTGCAGAGGATAGAGAAATTTGATAGTATAGGTTGATGTCCTGTTTCTTCACTATGTTGGCGTATAAAGGAATTTCCATTAAAACGCAAAAAAAAATTGAATAACCCCTGTGTTTCCTCACAGGACTTGTCAAAAGAAACTGTTAGATCAAGAACTTCGACTAAAACACCATCAGAAGAGACAACTTACTGAAAAGTTTAACGTCGATACAACCAATCTTCGGAACGCCGTTGTTAAATTAGTAGAGGAGTGGTTTATTTTAAAGCGATCCAGCTTAGTAGAAGAGTAGTTTATTCTAAAGCGATCCCAGCTTAATAGAATAGTAGTTTATTCTAAAGCGATCCCAGATTAGTAGAAGAGTAGTTTATTCTAAATCGATCTCAGCTTGGTAGAAGAGTAGTTTATTCTAAAGCGATCCTAGTTTATTAGAAGAGTAGTTTATTCTAAAGCGATCCCAGCTTATTAGAAGAATAGTTTATTGTAAAACGATCCCAGCTTGGTATAAGAGAGTTTATTTTAAAGCGATCCCAATTTGGTAGAAGAGGAGTTTATTCTAAAGCGATCCCAGCTTTGTATAAGAGGAATTTATTTTAAAGCGATCCCAATTTGGTAGAAGAGGAGTTTATTCTAAAGCGATCCCAGCTTGGTATAAGAGGAGTTTATTCTAAAGCGATCCCAGCTTAGTAGAATTGACTTCACTTTGGCAGAAGAGAAGTTTAATATAAATTGACTTCACTTTGACAGAAGAGAAGTTTAATATAAATTGACTTCACTTTGGCAGAAGAGGAGTTTATATTAAATTGCTCCATTACCCAGGTGAAGACACTTTATAATAAACTATTTTCTAGCAAACTGAAGGGGAACTCAACTTGGAAGAGAAGTAATTTATTCTAAAGTGAGTTAATCTTAATAGAAAGGTAGTTTATTTTAAAGTCTGGTGGAAAGGTAACTTACAAAGTGACTTCAACTTTGTATAGAGGTAGTTTATTTTAAAGTGATTTCAACTTATACAATGTTGTTTATACTAAAGTCATCGTGGTTCGGTAGAAAAATAGTTTTCTTGCAAGTTAGAAACTTGTCAGCGGAAATATTTCCAAGGTTACTAAGACTAAGCAGCAAAACTAGACCTCACTCAAGGAATGTCCAAGGTCAATATTCTAAAACAAAGTTCTATGTAACTTAAATCACAGTAGAATTTCTACACTATCACTTTTTTGGCTATTTTTGTTGCAAAACAATGGAAAGTAACAGCTTTAGGCAAACCTACACAAGCATTCCTGGTTTATATTAGGGTCTATGAAATATGACCGCAGGGCGTTTATTAAAATAAAGTGTTCTTTAAAGACAACTTAGTTGTAGGTCTGGCTTATACTGTCATTTTTTAAAAATAAAAACTAGAGTTTTATGTTATGTTAAAATTTGCTCTGCATCCTTTCGGCATTTGACACCATTGTTATAATTTTCTTGTCCTTTGTTGGTTTTAATTTTTGATATTTGCTCTTTATATTTTCTAAATTACAATTTTTATACTACACATTGACATAACTATAGGAAATAAAGTCTTTATTACATTGTTCATTTGATCCAGTTTCCATATTTCAGCTTTAAATGTAATGAAAAGTGCATAACTAATATGCATAGAACTAGATTTGAATAAAAATAATAAAAAAGTTTTAAATTCGCTTTCATTTTCTAGATCGATCATTCTTGGACATTCGAACTAACAATATGTAGTTCTTCTTTCTTCAGATTAGACATTTCCCATTATTGTCGAGACAATTATGATCGGCCCCATAGCTCCACCCCTGGAAATGCTACAGAAAATGGCATCTCATCGCGCAACATAAGACAGTGGAAAGGATAGAGGTCTATCATTTCTGTCTCGTGGACTAGGACTTAAATCAAGCTGCATGCGTTATGGGTGATTCGATCGTAAAGAGATGGTGCTATGAAGCAATAGCCATCGCCCATATGCTGACATATCTTCTTCGCTTTCTTTCATGGGCCTTTTATTGTTTATGGCTGATATGACGTTACGTCACAATCACTGGCGAAATTTTACTACTGTGTCACTTGAATCACCCACGCAAGCGTTTTGTGTACCGATCTGACCATTCCAGATAACATTGTTTTGAAATATATTGTGATTAATGGTAATTTCAGTTAACAATTCTTAACATTCTTGTTTTAATTAAAATTAATTTTTATAAATAATCCAGCGAAGAAACACAAGAGTTATGTATATGACAAAGCGAAAACAACAATAGTAGTTCTTTTCTTTAATATAAGGAAGGGTTGTAATTTGTTTAAACTTTAAAATTACTACAAAGCAGAATAATGCATACAAAAACTATATACAATTCTTTGAGTAGAAATACTTTAGCTTAGGTCGTACAGTAATACTACATACATAAAGATGTCCTTACTGAAATATATTATTTGCTTGATGTTGTTACGTTACAGAGAAACATTTCGGTCGCATTCATCTACAGCACCTTGAAATGTAGTCGTTTGGATGTTGAACTAGTTGACCGATGATTTAAGGAATCAGAATATACTCTCGATGCCGTGAGTTTAAGCTTTGTTTTTATCACATCATATTCCATCATGTTCTTTTTTTCCTAAGACAGACTTTCACCCTCGTCGTTTTCAGAAGTTGTATGTTGAACTTATGTTTACCCTACACTTCACTGTCTGAGTGTTTTCTGTACTTAAATGTAATGCCTCAATAACGCCTATTTTTACAATTATGATCGCGGAGAGTGTTATACGTTGAAAATAGAATGTTTTGCAATTAACACACAAATGATTTTAAATAAATAATGAAGTTTGAATGAATTTTACCGAATGTTTCATTGATTCAAATTAACAGAAAGATCTGCATTAGTATTCAATTTTATCAACACAGCACTTCATGCATCTATAACCAGTTTTATCAATATGGACATTTATTGCACTATTAGTTGGATTTCATTTATATAACTATTGTTTCATTAGTACTAACTTTTATTAGTTCTACAATTCTTCCAAACTTTCTTTCATTGGTTCTCAGTTTTATCAGTCTCACTCTTCTTTCATTAGACAATGGCTACTTTTTGTCATTGGTACTAAGTTTTATCATTTACCATTTATTGTACTGTTATTCTGTTTTATTAATCCGAAGTTTTCTGCATTGGTACGGTTTTGTCAGTTTTACAATACTTGCATTGATACTAAGTCTTATCAAACTTGCATTTCTTTCATTGGTACTAAGTTTTATCATTTACCATTTATTGTACTGTTATTCTGTTTTATTAATCCGAAGTTTCTTGCATTGGTACAGTTTTGTGAGTTTTACAATACTTGCATTGACACTAAGTATTATCAATCTTGCATTTCTTTCATTGGTACTCAGTTTTATCAGTCCGACACTTCATGCGATAATGCTTAGTTTTATCGTTGCGACAGTTCTTACATTTGCACTCGGTTCCGTCAGTCCGACACTTCAGGCACTTGGTACTTAATTTTATCAATAGAAAACTCAAGTTTTCAGCCCGAGCTTCTTCTATTGGTACTCGGTTTTGTCAATCCAACACTTCTTGCACTTTTACTTAGTTGCATCAATCCTAAATTCTTGCATTGGTACTCAGTTTTATTGATCTGATACTTCTTTGCGTTGGTACTCACTGTGAAACTTGTATTTGTACTCATTTTTATCAATGTGACCTTCCTCGTATTGATACTAATTTTTATAGATCCGAAAGTTCCTCCATTGGTTTTGTCACTTCGACATTTCTTCTATTAGTAGTCAATTTAACCAATCCGACATTTCTTTCATTACTACTCATTTTTATAAATATGACACTTCTTGACATTGATACTCACTTTTGACAATACGACAATCCTTATATTGATAATCAGGTTTATCAATGTGTCACTTATTGCATTAGTACTCAGTTTTATCAATGGGACACTTCTTGCATCGGTACTCAGTTTTATCAATCCCCCAATTCTTGATACATACTCAGTTTTTTCAATATGATCCGTTTTGCACGTGTACCCAATTCTTTCAATGTAATACGTTTTGCATGTATATCCAATTTTCTCAATGAGATACGTTTTGAATGTGTACTCAGTTTTACTCTGACAATTTTTATGTTGGTTCTCAGTTTTATCAAAACAACACTTCTTACATGGATACCCAATTTTATCAATCCATAAATTCTTCAGTTAGTTTTATCAATCCGACATTTATTGGTTTTGTACGAGGTTTTATCGTCCGATATTTCTTACATAGGGACCTAATTATATCAGTCCGACGCACCATGTATTGCTACTCATTTTATTAATATGATACTGCTAGCATTGCTACTCAGTTTTATCAATCGGACACTTTTTTCATTGGCACTGAGTTTTATCAATCTGAAAGTTCTTGCATTCATACTCGATTGTCTCACTTTGACTATTTTTACTTTGGTTTCAATTTCATCTATCCCACACGTCTTGCTTTACTACTCAGTTTGGCCCGGCATGGCCAGGTGGATAAGGCGCTCGACTCGCAATCTGAGGGTCGCGGGTTCGAATCTCCGTCACACCAAATATGC